AGAAAAGCGATGGAAAAAAGACCACGCGACTCTCCCTACCCCGTACTCGCTAACTTCCTTTATTCCATCTTTTATATATGTTCTATCTCCATCCTTCATCCATCGTCTGCATCTCTATCGACTATCGACTTAATCGACTATCGAAGTTTTTCCCAATCGAACATCGAGCAGACTAACTGCATGCGGCTTAGCCCCTGGTGCCACGTGGCCGACTTACCTAAGCTGAGGCGGTGAGACCACGTGCTTGCGGCGGAGAAAGAGGGCCGTCTCCGCTTTTCTGACTAAGCAGGCGGAGCGCGGAGGCGGCCGAAGCAGCGAAGAAGAAGAAGAAGAAGAAGAAGAAGAAAAGACGAAGAAGCGAGTCAGGAGAAGAAGAAAAGTAAACAGAAGAAGTTAGAAGTAGAAGAAGAAGAAGAAGAAGTAGAATAGAAGTGAAAGACTAGAAGTGAAAGACTTGAAGTCGAGTCCTTGAGCACCGATCACACCGTAGCATGGACATGGACATGGGCATAGGCATAGGCATAGGCATAGGCATGGGCATGGGCATGGGCATGGACAGACAGCATGGCGGCATGGCAGGAGAAAGGCATGGCATGGCGATGGACAAGGGACGGGCATGGGCGTCGGCATGGGGGATGGAGATGGGACAAGGCCCCCCTGGACGGTTCGGCGGTCGAGGGCAGCGGGCGGGTCGTGTTTCAGCCAGTTTCAGAGTAGTAGTAGTAGTAATAGTAGCTGAGAAGAGAAGCAGAGGAGGAAGAGGAGGAAGACTAGACGGCGTGCTAGAGAGACTAAAGTATCAGAGTCAGTCAGAGAAAGAAGAAGAAGTCGAAGTCGAAGAGTAAGTAAGGAGAGCAAGAGAAGAAGAGAAGAAGAAGAAGAAGCTCCGCTGCGCCGGCGCAGGTGCATATGGTACTGTCACGTACTGTCATGTCATGTACTGTCACGTCCTTACAGCCACGTTTTTCCTTACTTTACCTGCCCGAGGCCCAATCCCTGTCATGTCGTGGCGCCCACGCGCTGGGGCTGCCTCCCTCGTATCGTCACGTAATCTTACCGCTGCTTTTGCTTTTTCCCCCTTTTTTTGTCCTTTTCTCTCTCGTTTTAACTGGCTTGGCTGAAGAAAAGAAGCAGAAGAAGCAGAAGAAGAGGCCAGCAGCAGGCCAGCGGGAGGCCAGCGGGAGGTGAATTTGTTGACGATAAAAGACGACGAGCTAAGGTAAGTTAGCTTGGGCTTTTAGTTTAAGAGCAAAAGAAATGAAAAGAAAAGAAAAAAAAAGGACGAAGTTTGAGGGTTAGAAAGTAAGGCCCTGTCTGGGTGAGTTTAGTTAGTGCAAGTAGTTAGTTAGTCTACTTACTTAGTGTGTAGCGCTCAAGGGACGGACGCAGGAAAGAAAAAGAAGAGAGTTTCCACCACGTTGTTTCGCCTTTTTCTTCTTCTTCTTCTTCTTCTTCTGCTGCTGCTGCTTCTGCTGCTTCTTCTGCCTCGTCCTTAAACATCATCAATCTCCGCTTCCTCTTCCTCTTCCTCTCCCTTCTCTCGCTTCTTCTTCTTCTCCTTCTTCTCTTCTTCTCTCTTTGATAATATCCCTTCATGCCCTGCCCTGCCATCCCCGGCCCCTTGCTTCTTCTTCCTCTTCCTCTTCCTCTTCTAGCTCTTCTTCCTCTCCCGCTGTATAGTCTCCTGCAACATCTCTTTCAATGAGCAGGCCTGCGCTCGACAGATCAAACTCCCTCCACCAGCATCTCAAGCACCGGCCCTACATCCCGCTCGAAGACCACATCGCCAGCAGCAGCAGCCTCAACAGTAGCAGCAGCAGTAATCATCATCATCATCATAACGCCAACTCCTGCAGCACAAACTCCAGCAACTCCCAGGTCGCTGGCAGCAAGGCTTCGTCCCCGTCTGCGGCCTCGACCTCCACCTCGAACTCGAACCCGTCAGCCTCTACCTCTTCTCCTTCTCCTTCTTCTTCTTCCTCTTCATCCACCGGCAAGGCCTTCTTTGCCCATACGTCTCGCTCGTCGCGGCGCTCGCTTGCTGCAATTGCCATCCAAAAGACCTCGTCTGCCTTTAGCCTGGGGAGACCCGCCGCGGCCGACAACCACAACCACAACCACCAACACCACCAACACCAACACCAACATCACCACCACCATCAGCACCAGCAGCAGCTACAACTACAGCTACAGCAGACCAGAGAAGAAGAAGAAGATCCCTTCAGAGACCCGGACAGCTGGGAGTCAGACGACAGGCCACCAGCAGCAGCCATGGCCGGGAGCCAGTCCGCCTCCAAGATGCACCAGACATCCTCTCGCCTGCTCCGGATGACCACCGATGAGCGCCCCTTCACCCGCGACTTCAAGGACCTCTTCTCGACCCTGATGGTCAGTCTCAAGCTCGAGACGCACCGCGTGCGCTTCTCAAAGTTCGAACACACCTTCACCGCAGAGGAGGCCATCAACAATCTCGGCTCCCTCAAGTTCTCCCAGTCCAACCGCATGCCAGACCCCAAGGATCCCTCCCGCATCGTCACCACCACCACAACCACCACTTTCTCCATGGCCAAGGAGATGGCCCGCAGCGTCTGCCAGCGCTTCGTCGACGCTCGCTTCATCGAGTCTGTCGACGGCCGCTTCACCTCCCAGTTCCCGCTCAAGGGCGCCCTCTACCAGCTCACTCCCAAGGGGATCAACATCCTGCACCGCTTCTGCCAGCGGAACGGCATCACCGCCCGCCACATCATGGACATCATCGATAGCCCCCGGAATACCATGCAGCTCGTCATCCTCGAGCGAGACAGTGTCACAGACGCCATCTCAAACGACAAGGGGACCATAGAGGTCATCTTCCGTCGCTTTGCCGGCCAGGACGGGCCCAACATCAAGTCCTCCGTTTCCTCCTCCGATTCAGACTCCCTCTCAGACTACACCAACGGCGTCGTCGGCGTCAAGATGGCCCGCGAGCGCAAGATAGGCGACAAGCTATACCAAAACACCTTTACCGGCAAAGCTGCCATGGAATGGCTCATGGACTGCTGCACCACCATCGACCGCCGCGAGACCATGGAGATCGCTTCCTTGTTCGTCCGCCAGGGCATGATAGCCTGTTTCCTCGAGGACAAGTCGTACATGGCCCACGACCCGTCGGCCACGCTCTTCCAGCCCACCAAGAACGCCATCTACGGCGTCACAGACCACGGCCAGCGGATCTGCGGCTGGATAGCCAGGGAACGCCCGCCCAATTCGTCCACTCCCTCGACCTCCTCGGCTCCCACCACGGCCGTGGCTCCCAGAGACTCCAACAACGCCAGACTGCATCACATCATCCAGGACCCGGCCCTGCGGCTGCTCTTCCGAGAGTTCCTGCGCTACTCGCTCTGTGAGGAGAACATGTCCTTCTACCTCGACGTCTCGGACTTTACCGCAAACTACCGCCGTGCCGAGAAGGCCGGCGCTTTTTCCAAGATGGACACCGTCAGAGAGACCCTCGCCAGTGCTTACGGTAGGTCTTTTAACTATTTAAACTGCTTTCTTCTTTAAAGTGTCGTACTAACAGTGATAGGCCTGTATAATGCCTTCTTGGCTCCAGGCTCGCCATGCGAGCTGAACATCGACCATGCTTTGCGCAACAGCCTGGCCAGTCGCATGACCCGCGCGGTCGGCGACGACGCCTCCATGGTCAAGTCCCTCACCGACGTCGTCCAGCTGTTCGAAGCCGCACAGCTCTCCGTCTTCAAACTCATGTCTTCCGTAGGTCCATCCCGTTAAATACCCCCCTGCCTCCCAATAACTTCATCTTTATCTAATCGAATTCCAGGACTCCGTGCCGAAGTTCGCTCGTGATCCGAAATATGCTGCCGTCCTCCAGGAGCACGACTTTGACCTCAACCCAACCACCAGCGGCCGATCATACTCGCCTACCCCCTTGCCCGAACGGTCCATGAGCAGAAGTACCCGATCATAGACCCACCGATCCCGATAGATCTCTGATTCGTTCCTTCTCACCTCTTTTCTTCTTCTCTGTCTTCTTTCTTGACGTACAACCACGGACACGGCGCGGAACTCCTTTTTTTAGACGGCACAAACAGCGACTTGCACTATCAATCCATCCATCCTACCAACCAACCAAAAAATGTCCTTTCTATCTTTAACGCATCTCTTGAAAAAAGTATCCCCCTCCCCCCACCTTTTCACGAATCTCCTCGTCTCCTCACTTTCTCACGTCTTTTTCCCTTTTTTTTTTTATTCCTTTTATTATATCCTTCTTCTTATCTTCTTCATAGACTTCTGACCCTTGAGCGATTTGGTCGTTATATCACCTTCTTCTTTCTCTTTTTTTTTTTCATTTGTCTGCTATACATACATACCCCCTTCCCCTCTCCCTTTCTTCTGCACGTTTTTTTTTTACATATCCTTCCTACTTACTTACATGAGATGACATACTAAAGAAAGCATTCGGATGGCGTATCTATTATCTATCTACTTACCACTTTCCACCCCCCCCCCCCCTTTTACTCCTGTTAATGGCTAATACCATCCCTCCTGTTCCTCCTCTCTTCCTCTCTTCCTCCCGCTTCTCTTTCTCCTTCCTACTACTGTCTTTTTGTCTACTTGTGTTTTTCTCTTCCATCTCCAACGCGGCAAAAGGCGGGCTATCTGATCCATCCTTCCATCGCATCGCATCGCATCACCCCATCATCATGTCATCTACCTGTGCTCTAGTTCCATCCCACATAAAACAATCGTATATTATCATATCCACTATTTTCTTCTTCAAACCCTCGCCCGACTCCATCGGCTCGCTCATCTCATCTCAGCTCATCTCCAGCTCAGCTCAAAATTACATTCCTCAACCCAAGTCCACACCACCTTACTGGCTCTCCGAGGTGACTGGGGGTTGACTGGGCTGGCTGGGCTGGGCTGTAACCGTAATACTCTTACATACGCTTCTCTCTCTCTCTCTTCTTCTTCTTCTTTTCTTATTCGCAACACCCCAAGGTTAACTTTTCCAGCCTCGGCTTGCGATCGCCGACGATCGATAGCAGCCCAGGAAAAGAAAAAGGAAAAATAAAGGAAAAACCCATGTTCTGCTCTCTTTGCTTCTTCTGGGGCCTCATGGCTCGCAAACTCGGCACTTGCAACACCCCCTTTTTTGCTTCTTCTCGTTGGCTGGCTGGGGCCCCCCTTTGCTGCTTGCCATGTGGACATCACGCCAGGCGTCGGATGCGGTATATAATAATCAGATCCTGCTATAGGTACATACCTAACATACATACTTACTGCAGCTATGTAAGTACGCCAGAACGGGCTTCTAATGATGACTGAGATGATGGGAAAAGTAACGGTACATATACATGCATGCACAAAACCAAACCCACCGAACAAGAACAGGTACACAAAGTTATAAAAGATACAGAAATAGCTAAACCCGACCTCCATCAAAACAACTGTCTGTCTGCCTGTCTGTCTGTCTACTTACTTACTTGCCTGCCTGCCATCCTCGAGCCCTCATGCCCTCTTCAATCGCAGACCAGATACCCTCCACCACGCCACGGTCTCTCCATCTCGCCCCTCCCCCAGGGACATTTGCGCTCTTCTCATCCCACCGGTCGATCGCGAAGCTGCGCACCCCTCTCCCCCACCCTTTCACCTCCCGCGGCGGCTCCTCGCCTCGCCAGCCGACGTGGATGCCCGTCGCATGCTTGAACAGCTCCTGCGGCGTCGACCACTTGTACGACTTGAACTGCCATGTCTGGCCCGTCGTGAACACGGCTACCACGCGGTTCCAGTAATCCGGCTTGAAGTCCGCGGTGCTATCGACCAGAATGAACAGCGTGGGCTTGCGGAGCGTGTTGGCGGCTCCGGCAGTTACTCCTGCACCGGCAGGCGCCGTGGCAGACCGAGAAGTGTCGGGTATCGTCTGTAGGGCGCGCGAGAGATGTAGTAGGTTGGAGTTGGTGGATTTGGCGAGCGAAGGATGGTCGGGCGGGATGTAGATGCCTTCTGTCAGGAAGGTTTTGATATTCGACATGCGTAGTAGGGAGGAGGCGGATGGCGACACCAGGATGATCGGGTTGGGCCGGCGGGACGATGACGAGGCAGAGGATGTCCCCGAGGGCGTGGCTGTTGGGTCAAGTGGCTTTTTCGGGATGCTGCCTGGTCCCGGCGTGGGTGTGGGTTTGCCGCCCTTCGACGACACGGCGGCTCGGCTCCTGTTGCGGCCCAGGAACAGCTCGGCTGTCTTGCGAATATGTGAGAAGTCCTGGTAAGAGTTCAAGGCAAATAAATATTTGTCAGTGGTAAGTTTTCATTTTGGGTAGGTTGGGGAGTTAAAAAAAAAAGGAATTAAGCTGGCCTTACCGTCGGCTTGATGCCTCGTAGCACCGTGTTTCTGTCTCCCAGCTTGCGCTCGCCGTTATATATAGCTTGTAACCGCGCATCAACAGTCTTGCCGGCCCGGCTCGTGGAAGGTCCGGCTCCAACGGCTCCAGCAGCTGCTTTGGCCGGCACGCTTGACGCAGCTACATCTGCTGCCTCTTTCGCGGATACAGCTGCAGGACCAGCCGGAGCAGCAGCGTCGCCTGCTTCGCCCGCTGCTTCTCCCGCCTCTTTCCCTTCAAGCGGCTTAATGTACTCGCTCTCGTCAGACGCTCCCTCCAGCCAACTGATCAAGTCGACTTTCTCCACAAACACCAGATTCAGCACTTTTCCCGCAGAGCCCAGCGCATCGTTCACTTCCTGCGCTGATGCAATGTACTCCGGTATAGCCACGTCTTTCTTCAGCCACGCAAAGTAGATGCTTCGTAGGTCAATGGCCTGGTCTGCGGCCGCCGAGACGAACCGCGTCGGCGTCGAGAGCGGTATGCTCTGTGCTATCGGCTGTGTCAGGTACAGGTGTGTCGCCTTGGAGATGTCATCTGTTGCATGCTCTGTCGATAGTTCGGGTGAGTTCGTCAGCACTGGGCCGCTGGAGGAGGAGCTCAGAGCTCGTTTGAGTGCGAGTAGAGGGTCGGTCTGCGCGGCGTCGGAGCTCGCCATGTTTGGCGACCCTGGTGTGTAATTGTTCTCGACTTCTCGGAACGTGGCTCTTGCTTTTTGGATTCTGCGAGTTCTTCGAGTCGTCTGCAGCTGCAAAGTGGTGCTGTGAGGGCGTTCTTCAAGGGTATCAATGTCTGTTCTGCTGCTCGTTTGAAGCTGAAGTTGAAGCTGTTCTTCTTCGTCTTCAACTTTCAACTTTCGACTTTGCGCCGGTCACGTGATATGACCTTTTTTCTTCCATGTCCTGTGTCCTGTGTTGTTCAAATTTGAATGAAGATGAAGAATGAACGAAGTCGAGCTTTGTTATTCTTCTTCTTTTGTCTCGAATAGCTTTGACGCTTCGAAGGTGGCCTTCGGGTGTCATTGTTGGTTTACGTGCGATCTGTCTGTGTGTTGCCATCAATAGGCCTACTATCACATGGGCTCCTCCTGGCTTCATCGAGATCCTCTTAGGCATGGCGTAGCTAACTGACACTCAACTACTCTCAAGAGCATGCTCCCCCGGAGGAGTGGCTGCTTGAGCCGTCGGTATTTGGGTATATGCCATTCGCCAGTCTGATGGCTGTGTTCAGCTGGTCAAACCCAGCATAGTCTCAGCATAGCCTATCCTATCACTATCTAACCTCGGCTGCCTTCTCCATGTAGTTCAGGTTATCTTGGACGCCGTATTATACGAATAGCATCAGCCGCTTCCTTCAGCTTTCGTCGCTGCCTGGAGGGCTCTATCCTCCATTCACTTATATGTTCTGCTAGAAAAAAAGGTCCCAATTCATCTCCATACGCATATACAACACAATGGCGGCAGACGAGTTCACAGAGCGCATCGTAGAGATGTACGATGCCATCGTCCTCAACCCCAGAAACACAGTATGTGCATCCCTCCGTTCTCATATGGCACTCAAGATGTTCCCACCTCTCGATATACTAACGCGCATCCCAGGGTTATAGCTGTGACATATTCCGCAACCACGTCCGCTTTGGATCAGCGACTTCCGGTCCCCCTGCCCGCGTCACCTACACTGCAACCGTAGCTCCGGAGATGTGCAATGGTCTTGGAAATTTGCACGGCGGATGTGCCACAACGCTGATTGACGTGTGCACTTCGACTCTACTGCTTGCCTTAGGAGGATATTTCTCCGTCGGTGGAGTGAGTCGGTCGCTTAACATGACGTTTCTACGACCCGCGCCGGAGGGAACGGAGATTTCCATCAGTTGCGAACTCGTGCATTCTGGCAAACGGCTGGCGTTGCTTCGGGCCGATATTCGCAGGGCGGATACCGGTGCTCTGTGTGTCTTGGGAGAGCATGACAAGGCCAGTACGCCGATGGATACACAGCTGAAGCTGTAGCGGACTTGGCCGTAGAAAAGAAAGAAAGACATCAATTGACATACATAAGAGATAGACGTACAGTATATAAGATTATCAATACCGAGGATAGAGGGGGAAGGGTCTAGCCCTTTCTTAGTTTCTTTTTGATAACGTTGTCCATTCAAGCCTATCTACAGAAGTTTGTTCCTATAGTACGACCTTTTCCTGCCTGTCAGGGAGATGCCGAAGCATCCTCAGATAATAAAATTATCTGGTCAGGCAAACATGCATTAAAAAGAAAAAACAGAGTCATCATACACAGTCGTAAGCCCTCTCAGTACACTGTAGACTCTCGGAGAGGTTTAGGTGGCTTGGGGGAAGGGCATTCCTCGGACAAGGTTTCTGCCTGGGTCGAGACGGTTGTCCAAATCGGCGTAGCGAAGAATGAATTCACGCTATATGCATCAATTAGCCGATGCAAACAACATGCAGTGGTATTGGGGGCCATGTATACTTACTCGGACTTTCTTCCAGGTGTTGGTATCCCACCACAGGTAGACGCCACGCTCGCTGATACCTCTCTCAACCTCAACGGGGTTCGGGTAAGTGTCATCGCGCGTCAGCCAAGCGCGTTCGATCTTGTGGTAACGCCACTTTCTGCCCATGAGCTCCTCTGCAACTAGCTCCTGCATGATATCACGCGGCATGCTGTAGAATATGTAGAACAGAGTCTCATCGCTGAAGCTGGGTATACGGTTCTGCAGTGGCTGGACATTGGCTACATTGTAGCATGCAGGCAGAGTAAAGTCTGGCCGTAGTGGAATGGACACATTAGATGAGATAAATGGCGATGCAAATGTTTGATGCAGTGGTCTTTTTTTTTACATATATGCAGAGTCAGCAGGCCATCGCGCGTAAATTGGCGTATCATATCCAAGGGCGTCTGCGGATACTTACTCCTGCTGGTTCAGATCCAGTCCAAGGCTCATCAGATCTTGGCCGATAGCAAGGCTCGCAACGTCTGGGCTGTCACTATGGATCATGCGTAGAAGCCCGGCTAGGCCGAACCGATCGTGTTCGCTCATCTGCGAGAGCGAGGCTTGCTCGGCTGTCTGGCCGGCTCGTGAGGGATCATGCGCCTCGTTCTCAGCCTGCGCCTGTGATGGCTGCGGTGGCTGCTGTTGCTGGCGAGAGGACTGCATCTGGGCTGGGTTCTGCTGCTGCTGCGGCTGCTGCATCGGATCCATGCCGCGCTGGCTCATCATGGATGCTTGAGCTTGAGCTTGAGCTTGAGCCTGGGCTTGAGCGTTGTCCTGTTGGTTTTGGTGGTTTGGCGATGCGGTTAGCCAATAGGACGCGTCTGGAAGAGGAAAGGACGAGTATCAAAATGTTTTTTTGTTTTATAGTCACCTACTCACCTCGTGATCTTGTCCAATTATCCCGTTCTGGTTCTGGCCAGCTGGTAGCCGCGGTCCTGGTGTGCCTTCAACCAAAAAACGAAAAACAAACATATGAACATATATCCAAGCTGAAATCGTGTACGTGTATGCTCACTTACCAGACGGGCCTGCAGCTGCAGGAGATGCGATTCTACTGGAATCTTGCTGGTTTCCAAGAGACGAACGCGTCTGGGCAGAGAAGCCAGTGAACCCCATAGACCAGGCATAGTTGCCAATGGCCCCTCCTTGCTCAGACTGTTTGCTCAGAGGAGGGAAGTCATCGACACTGCCGGCTTGCGGCTGGTTGTTGCCGGACATCTGGCCCATGGCCTGGACACCGTTACGGAAATCATCAAGCTGGGTGACAAACTGCGTTGTTGAGGGGAACTGGTCATCATGGCCCTGAGCTTGACCCTGAGATTGCCCCTGTTGGGCTTGGAGCTGTGATTCTCGTGAGGGAGCTTGAGGAGGGACGGAACCTTGTGCTTGTCTCTGCCCATGACTCTGCTGGATTGAACGTTGGCCTGCGTTGCCCCAGATGGCCTGTCCAGGGGTTGGTGTGGTGTTCTGCGGACCGCTAGAGAGGGAAGGGAATTCGCTGAGAGACGCGAGGTCGAGAGTCAGCACAGGCTTTGCCTTGTAGTGGCGGCCGGAATGGCCAGCTTTGGTATCTGCCCTCATAGCCAGGGGGCGGGTATCAATGCTAGCAACGGTGGGATATCAAGCTGGCAAGGCAAACGTTGCTGAAGAAATAAGAGACGAAGGAGAAGAAGAAAGGAGAAAAGAAACAAACAAAAATAAACAACAGAAGAAAGGCCTTTTAAAGGAGGACAAAGACAGTGCCGAGAGAGTCGTCGCTACTCACGAGAGGTCAAGGGGAGCAGCAGGCTGTGAACCGCCTACACTTTGTGCAAAGGAGCCCATGGGATTCACTGTTCTTTGCTGACTACCCATTGGTACTCCAAAGCCCCAGTTCGCAGAGGTGCCGCCTACCCGGGGTAATAAAGAGAGGTTATAATCAGCCAAAGTCCGTCTCCGATACAGAAGGTAATGATTCCGTCATCCTCACCCATCTGGCTATTTGGTAACCGGCCGGATAATAGGGCAGCGTTTGCGGTTCGGTTCTGTGATTGTTGTTGGGCCGGGAAGCCTGACATGCCTCGGATAGCCTGTTGGCCTGGTCCTATAGAGTATAAACGAAGAGCTATTAGCCATGCGTACTCTTTTGAAGGGTTCGAGCAAGGGCATATAAGCTGTGACATCTGGCGGACGTCTTCTGGAGCCAGGATATGTCTCGTATAGGTATCCGTTCCAGCACAGAGACAAACGCACGAGCAGCTCGACCAGATCAGAGGCAAGACCTGTCTTGACATGGCCCAGAGTAACTGTACACGGGACAGCATTTGAGTATAGGGAGTATCTTCCTACCTGGCCGATTCATGCTGGCGGAGGGAGCTCCTGTGCCCACTAAGTGCGCCGATAGGAGGAGTAATGGGGTAGCTAGAGGGTGCAGCTAAATAAAGGAAGGATATAGAATACAGCGCGATACCAATGATGGTCTCTTCGAGGGGTTTCAGGTGAATCTTGCGTTGCCGGAAGCTTGGGTGTGAGTGTCAGTTAAAATTGGTCCATCTTTTGCCAGCAAACCTTCGGCTCACATCAGGAAGAGGCGCGATAAGTTAGTTAGCAAAGCACGGACCATCCAAGGTAACCAGCAGTCACTTAACAGCTTATTTTATATATAAGGCTTTTTGTTACCTCTAGATTTCAAAGATGCTGTAGAACATATGGGAGGCAGCAGCAGGCCATCGGTAGACAATGCAGCTTAATTCTACACTTATTCGACTAACTAGTTAAGAGATGGCCGCTTGCCTGTGTCGAGGAGTGGCTAAAAAGCGGCCTCTTGCTCGACCGCTTCTATAGAATACTATCTCCCGACAGCCCGACATCATGGCCAGGAGCAGTCAATACATCTGGCCCGTACTCCTTCCCCGTCCGCTCCCTTTACCTCTCTCCTAACACATCACCTTACCTTCTTCTCTCCTGATCATCGACAACTTTGGCTTCTTCCTTCTTATCGCTTCAACCACAGGGATCAAGTGGTTAAAAAAGAATGGTCACATGATCAAACACGTGACACACTTACTTTTCTTAAGGAAAGTTGAGTTTTTTCTTCTCTTCAGCTTTTTTTTTTCATCCTCTAACAAACATCAAGAAGAAGTCGAAGAAGTGAAAAATCTCCTTCGACCGGCTTCAAACAGCTTCAAGATGCGTCCAAAGGTTTCAATTGCTCACCTGGCTCGCCATGGAGGCCTCTCGCTGGCCGAGCTGCCTCCCCCCTTCCTTGCTCCTGCCCTCTACTCCCCCATAATATCGGTATCGCGGTCGTCCAAATTTTCAACCTCTGCCTCCTTTCAAGATCGGAACAAGAATCGTGGCGTCTCTGCCATTCATAGAAGCGGGCTTAAGCATCGATTGTCTGTGTCAAAGTTCAAATTACCAGTCCCAGAGAACCCAGAAAGACATGAACCGCGTGTCCTCAACCCGGAACATGGTCTCTGGGAGTTCTTTCTTCCAAACAAACAGGCATTTCCCACCCCAGAGCAGGAACATGCGCATGGTATGGGCCCTCCTAGACGATTCCAATTCATCAACCCTCAGCTTGTACTGACCAATGCCACATTGTAGGCCGCTCCTGGACCGTTCAAGAATTGCGCCAGAAATCATGGGATGACCTCCACTGTCTATGGTGGGTGTGTGTAAAGGAGCGTAACCGGATTGCTACATCCAATTATGAAAGAGACAGACTAAAGACTGGATACGGAGAGTACGAGGCCGGAGAAAGAGACAAGACGGTAAGCATATCACCTTTCCTTTTTTTTCCCCCCCGTCCAGCCAAAGCGTTCTTTATGATGAATCCCATTCACTCGCCGATATGAGTCACGATTGGGACTGCTTAAACCCTCTCGGTATGATTCTACTGGGATACTTACTTTCTGATCATTGCCTATACTCCACGCTATCTATATGTTGTTTATATCACTTCTGTTTGGTCAATGGCTGACACGATATCAAACTGCAGATCGTCGTTACACAGAACAATATCAAGCATGTCCTAAGAGAACGGTGGAATGCCTGGTCGGAGGCTCGTGAGCTGTATAATAATGGCTACCGACCAGAACAAGACGAGCTCCTAGAAACTGCCGAGGCGCAGGAGGATGCTATGCCTGCAGAGGTGCCGGTCGAGGACATTAAGGCGGATGCAGCAAAGTCTAGAAGCTAGCCCACCGTTTCTGCATGAATCTTACGGTCTTGATTCAATGCTTGCTCTCTCCTTCCTGCAACCCTCAGATGTATAACAGTCAAATGTATAACAATCCATCACCCGTGGCTGATGATGTACACTACTATTTAATTGAACAGTTAATGTCTCTAAAACAAAAAGCCACGCAGGCTCCAACAAGAGTAAGACATGCTTATTACCAGTGCGGAGTACTATCCTCGCCTTAAGCAGCGATTTTCACCTCTCACGGTCGCCTGTCCAGGGGCTGGTTCATGGATGCCCTCTTGGCTGCTGGCCGTTTCGATAGCACCCAGACTAAACACTCTTAGCGTTAACTTTTTTTTTTGCTGGCATCCATGTTGACTTGCTAAGTTACCCATCTTCACCTCTTCTTCCTCCCTCTCCCCAACCCACATCTTCCCCAAGCTTCTGCAGCCTCAGCTCTCGGTTTCTCTACTTCTCGTCCAACCATCTATATCTCCAAGACAAGCAAGAAAGTACCTCTCAAGATGGAGGAAATGTCCCCGGAGTATGACGTTATTGTGATGGGCACAGGTAGGACCTACAGAACCCCACCTCGCTCGCTCTATTGTATTGTACTGCTGGTTGAGCTGAACTGTCCCTGACTGACTTGTTACTCCTTAGGCTTGACGGAATGTGTCCTCTCAGGGTAAATAGCCTTGCCATCTCCTGCTTGTGAAGCTAGTCGGGTTGTACGCTAACTGCAGTATCGTCGGTACACAGCGTCTTGAGTGTCAAGGGGCAGAAGGTCCTTCACATCGACCGAAACGATCACTATGGCGGGTTCGTGCCTCCAATCCTGGCTGTTTGACCATAAATATATGCTAATGCACCGTGATAATATAGTGAAGCAGCCTCCGTCAACATAGAAACTGTATGTACCGTGAAGGAGCCCCTCCTTTCACCGCCAAAGCTGACATAGGGGGTCAGCTCTTCCGCAAGTTCAGGACTTTCAAGCCGGATGAGAAGCCATGGGCGAAATATGGCAGAGTAAACGATTGGAATGTTGATTTGGTCCCAAAGCTCCTCATGTCCAATGGAGAGTTGACCAACATCCTCGTCTCGACCGAAGTTACCAAATATCTTGACTTCAGGCAGATTGCTGGCAGCTACGTTCAACAGGGAGATGGACCAAAGGCTACTGTTGCTAAGGTCCCCTCAGATGCCGGTGAAGCTCTCCGATCCTCTCTTATGGGCATGTTCGAGAAACGACGTGCAAAGAAGTTTCTCGAGTGGGTAGGAGAATTCAATGAGCAAAACCCATCCACCCACCAGGGTCAGTAGACAATCCCTGACACACAGATATTCACCATGGGTCCTAACGTAATTTTAGGACTCAACATGGCCACTTGCACCATGAAGGATGTATACGACAAGTTCTCACTCGAGACTACCACCCGCGACTTTGTCGGACACTCCATGGCTTTGTACCAGTCTGACGATTACATCTCCGAATCCGGGAAGGCTGCTGAGACCATCAACCGTATTCGATTGTATGTCAACTCCATGGCTCGATACGGAAAGTCTCCCTACATCTACCCGCTTTACGGACTGGGAGAGCTCCCTCAGGGCTTTGCTCGCTTGTCAGCCATCCACGGTGGAACTTACATGTTAAACGCGAACGTCGACGAGGTCTTGTATGAGAATGGTAAGGTGTCTGGCATCAAGGCTACTATGAAGGAGCGAGGTGAGCCTGGTGAGGGATTCACCTTCACCACCAAGACCAAGAAGATCATTGCCGACCCTTCGTACTTCCCTCAGAAGACCAAGGTTGTTGGTCATCTGTTGAAAGCGATCTGCATCTTGAACCACCCCATTGATAAGACCGATGACAGCGACTCTCTTCAACTCATCATTCCTCAATCCCAAGTTGGAAGAAAGCACGGTATGTTTCCGCTTTACCATCTTATAAGTCGTTCGGCCTAGCTAATCTCCCTGCTTTCTTTTTTCTGTATCCAGATATCTATATCGCCATGGTTTCGTCTGCCCACAACGTCTGTCCCAAGGGTTATTATATTGCCATTGTCTCTACTATTGCTGAAGGCGAAGCAAACCACCACCTCGAGCTCAAGCCAGGTCTTGACCACCTGGGCAAGATTGAGGAGATGTTTATGGGCCCTCCCATCCCACTCTACGAGCCACTTGAGGATGGCAAGAGCGATAACATTTACATCTCGAAGAGCTACGATTCGACAAGCCACTTCGAAACCACAACTGGTAAGCTATTCTCCCTGTCTGGATTCTTTGAACACAGGAACTGACCCCCTTAACAGACGACGTTCGGGACATCTACGAACGATGTGAGGGTCATAAGCTGGTCGTCGAAGGCCTCAAAGAGGGAGAAACTCTCGTTGGTGAGGACCAGTAATGTAGATGAGAAATGTTTATACCAACATCTATTACAAATCTTCCCATTTGGAGGTAATGCAGGGTTAGTCAACCCTAAAAGGGGGATGGATTTAGCATAAGAAATTCGATAGTTCTGTGCTGCTTTGTATGTTTTTTAATATTCTTCACTTTTCTCCCATTTGTTAGTCTATATCAGAGTAGGACGAGCTGGCGGCTGGCGGCTAGATCACGTGCCGGGTGAGGTCACCTATTTTGTTTTAGCCTAAAAAAGACAAAAGTAAATACACAGCGAAGTTCGAGCCGCAGCTAAACATCAACCGTTCACGTTGCATAACAAGCAGCTGCGCGAAATACAGAACCATTCGCTTGGTTTGATTGCTCGGTCCTTCCTTTCTTTTATGCGCTTCATTTTTGGGAGTCGATTTTCTTTTTTTTTCTTGCGGAATAAGACATAGCAGGACGCGACGATGAGGATTATTGAGGTTATCATAGATGTGAGCGGCTGAATAACCCAAAAGTAGCGGAATTAATGAAATGTCAATGACTGGATTTGGCTAATTTTACGTCTCAAATTAGGGATTTAAATCCTATGCGGTGCGGACGGTTATATCTGGGTGGTGAGTGATAGGATTGTCCAGCGTCTACAGAGCCCATTCGCGTACCCCACCATGTGCGTTCTCACTACTTCACTGCAACTGTGAGGCTGATGCCCGGGATTCCCGGATAGGGATGAATCCTTCAATTCTATTACCGGCCTTAACGGTAGTGGTAAATCCAATATCCTTGACAGCATATGTTTTGTGCTCGGTATTACCAACATGAGCACCGTCCGCGCTCAAAACCTACAAGACCTTATATATAAGCGAGGCCAGGCCGGAGTTACCAAAGCCAGCGTCACAATTGTTTTCGATAACCGCGATAAATCGATATCACCAATTGGATTCGAGGAGTACGCCACGATTTCAGTCACTCGGCAAATAGTTCTAGGTGGAACGAGCAAGTACTTGATCAATGGCCACCGCGCACAGCAACAAACGGTCCAAAACCTTTTTCAGAGCGTGCAGCTAAATATAAATAACCCGAACTTCCTGATTATGCAGGGCCGGATAACAAAAGTGCTGAATATGAAGCCTGTTGAGATATTGGCTATGATTGAGGAAGCTGCTGGAACCCGAATGTTTGAGGACAGGAAAGAGAAGGCAGCGAAGACAATGGCCAAGAAGGAAATGAAAGTCCGGGAGATCGAGGGATTATTGCAAGAGGAAATCGAACCCAAGCTGGAAAAGCTGAGGGGTGAGAAGCGAGCGTTTCTTGACTTCCAGCAAACACAAAGTGATCTTGAACGGTTAACAAGGCTTGTTGTTGCCCATGACTATCTCAAGTACGGGGAACGATTACGCCTGAGCGCAGAAGAAGTCGACAAGAGAAAACAAAAGGTTGAAGATTTGGAAGCGAACGCGACTAGGTTGAAGGGCGAAATTGCGAATCTGGAAGAGGACGTGAAAAAAGTCAAGGAGGCGCGCGACAAAGAATTGAGAAAGGGTGGGAAGTTCCAGGCGTTGGAAGATAAAGTGAAGAGTTATTCTCATGAGATGGTTAGATTGTCGACGTCAATTGACTTGAAAAAATCTAGCATGGGCGAAGAGACGAGTAAGAAAGAAGCCGCAGAAAAAGCTCTCGCCGAGGTGCAAGCCAACCTGAAAGGGAAGAAACAAATCTACGACAAGCTACAGGCACAATATGACAAAGCCAAAGCAGACTTTGATGCACAGACCGCTGAGGTAGAGCAAAAGGAGGAGCTCTTGCAGACGTTGCAAACAGGTGTTGCCTCGAAAGAGGGCCAAGGTAACGGTTATCAAGGGCAGCTTCAAGATGCCAGAAATCGTGCCAGTGCGGCTGCCACAGAACAGGAGCAAGCAAAGCTCAAGATCTCTCATTTGGAAAAGCGCATCAAAGAGGAGGAACCCAGGGCAAAAAAAGCTGCAGAGCAGAATAAAGGGTTATTGAAAGACCTAGAATCTCTGAAAAAGCAAGC